AGAAGAAGAAGAAGAAGAAGAAGAAGAAGAAGAAGAAGAAGAAGAAGAAGAAGAAGAAGAAGAAGAAGAAGAAGAAGAAGAAGAAGAAGAAGAAGAAGAAGAAGAAGAAGAAGAAGAAGAAGAAGAAGAAGAAGAAGAAGAAGAAGAAGAAGAAGAAGAAGAAGAAGAAGAAGAAGAAGAAGAAGAAGAAGAAGAAGAAGAAGAAGAAGAAACAACCATCTGTTAGAAACAGGAATGAAAAGCGTTAAGATACCTGTGGTGCAGACTCCATCAGTTGGTTTTCAGAATTTCCTTTCTATCAGTTTAAAAGGATGTCACAATGGAAAGCGTACAAAAAACAACAACAAATCAAAACAGGAGCAATGTACATCTTCAGAGGTATAGGAAATACGGGAAGACATAGCTTTCTTGCCAAATTTTTCACCGTTGTATGATTTCCGGTATTTGGGTGGCGCGGTGGCCTAGAGATGAAGCTCTCGCCTTACATTCAGGAGGCCGCGAGTTCAATCCTAGGTAGAGGCAGTGTTGTGGTTAGCCGTCGGCATGTGCGGACGGCTGAGGAGAGTGAGCACTCAGATGTGGGGCCAGGACTATTTAGGGAGTGGACTGCTGCCTTCAGAGACTGTGAGGGCTGGCGGCAGCGATGAGGAGGTTCCCGAGGAGCCTGTGCCAAGTGCGCGCAGGGCTGCTTGCAGGAAAGAGCAGCTGCAGCAGCACAGGTGACTTGGGAGTAAGACTGCAAGGTAACGGCTCCTCCTTCGAGAAGATAAAGCCAGCTGTGAAGCGAACGTTCTTTGCAGGAAGCAAACATGTTTTGAAACTCAGCCTCGTGGACATTACAGTATCTTAAATTGGTATTTGAAGAATCTTGTGTTGTAAAATATTTCTAGGTAACCTTATCTGTTATTTTTGGCAGCCTCGCACAGTATTGGCGAGGCTCGTGATTATCAAAGTTAATTAGTTTGCAGCAGCCTTTTAACTGGGGATTTTTAAAAAAAAGAAGAAAGAAAACTATCCCTAACAGTTAAATCAGGAAAATGGAAATAGTGGAGTTATTGGTGACACTGGAATTATCTTGCCTAGAGTTGCCAATATCTGCCTTTCAAGATTTTTGACAGCACATATATTTTCTATTTTGGTCTGGCATTTTCATGTTCCTAAATAGCAATTGACAGGAAGTTGACAATGGATAGTTTTACGCTATTTTTTCCCCCCATAATATTATTTTCATGGCTGTCTCGCACTTTGTATTCCATTTGTCCCTAAACGCCTCGTTTTTATGACCTCTGTAATCATCTTTAATAACAGGCGATTGTGTGTTATTAGTTGCTTTACTGTGAACCACTTTGGAAGGGTTATATAAAATTTAATTGAAAGAGGAACCCGAGGATGGGAAAAAGACAGACTTCAGTGTTGTTCGAGTATTTTAATGCCAAATCTGCCCGCTGTGTTTAAGTAACAAAACTGGTGGCTGGGATTTGTTAATGTTCACATTAACCCAAATGGAAATCTTTATTTTCAGGGCCATCCTATAAAAAAAAAAAGGACCAATGGGTGACTGGAAAGGTAATTCACCTTAAAGAGAAATGTATATTGAATAAAAGGCTTGACACAAGCATCTTCTATCTGGGATTCTCCTTCGCCTCTTCCTCCTGCTCCTCTTCCTCCTCTTCCTCCTCCTCCTGCTTCTCCTTCATCTTCTCTTTCTGCTTCTCCTCCTCCTTCAGCAACTTCTTCTTCCTTTTTTTCTGCTTCTCATCTTCTCGTTTTCTTCTCCTCTTCCTTTTCTTCCGGCTTCTCTTTTTCTCCTCCTCTTTCTGTTTCTCCTCTTCCTTGTTTCTCCTCTTCCTTGTTTCTCCTCCTCCTTCTTCTGCTTCTTCTCCTCCTCCTCCTCCCTTCCTCCTCCTTCCATATCACTCAAAAACGAGACATTAAAAAAGATTTGCCGAGCAGCTTTCAACAGCTGGATTTCCCTGTTTTCAAATGCCAATATTTGTAATCCCTTCAGGGGGGACTTTTTAAAAGATAAGAGTATCAGCACCTCACCAGGTTTTCAAAACACCCTCCAACGCCCTTCCCCAACCTTCAAAAACCGCAGAGACATCCATACACCGTGTTTCCCTGCGCGATGCCCTCTAAGTTTGCTTGACAACCTCCTCCATCATACCCAGCCAGCCAGCCAGCCCAGAATGGACCAAAGATTGAAAACAGGCTGCCACCCCCAAACTAAAAATCCTCAGCCCTGCTCCAAGGTACGACGCATACATCAAAACAACCGAGTCGTTTCAGGTGGAACGGGGAAGAAAGAATACAAAGAGGGCCTCTGCCGTTTTGAGGCAACTTCGACTCATCTCTTGTCAACAGCCTGCTCGATTAATGGCGGGCGTACCTGAGGACAGGTGAAGCAGGAAAGGGATGCTGTCTCTCCAGCGGGTTTCGTGAGGAGCCAACCTGTCGACTCACTTAGAGGGATGTCATCGCGTTTGATCGGAGGATTGTCCAAGCTGCTTGATAATGCGTTGTGATACCCAACAAGGCTTGTGTGCCTTGGGCAACAAGCAAGTTTCTACCAACAGGCCAGTGATCAAAAACATTTTGCAGGATGCCCGTTAAGAACGTTATTCATCTCGCAATAGATTTATTGTACGAAACACGTTTTCTTTTCGACAAAGAAGAAGGGAGAAAAAAAAGAAAAGAAACGCCGCCCCCGCCGCCCATTTTTTTCCCAGCCTCTCTTGGGTCGATTATGAAGGTTAGAAAACAAAAAACAAAACCCTCAACTTTCATTCCAAGTCTCCCCTCTAGTGAACAATTGCAGTAAAAGGCTTTGGCAGACGAGTGAGAAAGACGCCGTCGCGTTTGGTCATTCTGGCTGCCTGAAGCGCCAAAATATGCCCTTCCTTCCTGACGGGGGAATCTCAACCTCCTTGCCAATGATATGTAAAATCAGGCTAGGGGGAAAAAAAAATCAGCAGTGTTAAAGATTGTGATTGTTGTTGTTGTTTTTTTAAGCGAGTCAATTCTTTGCACGGCAGGAAATAGCTTTTCCTCCGCCGAAAACACTGTATTTTAATTCGCTTTTGTCTTCTTCCTGGTTCTTGTTTGGCTTCGTGGGGCCGGAGGAGAATGGCAAGAGGCGACGCAATTAATTAGCTGCCTTTGTTCGTGCGATAAAGGCTTCACTGCTGGCCTTGTCTAATCACATCCAGACTTTTTTTTTTAAAAAAAAAAGGACAAAGGGTTACCGGTAACCTGAATGGCACGAGCCGCAGTTGCCCATTCTGCCAGCAGCTTAATGAGGTTAGAAACCGGGAATCTCTCTTTTGACATCAATCCGAAATCCAATCTTTTGATTACACCTGAGGTGGTTGAAGGGCTTTGGACTTGGAACTAAAAAAACATGACAAATCAGTGGTGGAATTCAAAATATTTTACTACCGCTTCTGTGGGCACGCGCTTCGGAAATATAGGACAGGAAAAGGGCGAGGCCAACTCTTGAGCGGCACTACCGGATCCCTAGAACCGGTGTGAACCGGCAGTATACCACACTTGATGACAATCTAGTTCAGTGGTCTCTGGTCCGCGGGATTTCAAATTATGAGTTTAGTGGTCCCTGAGGTCCAAAAGATTGCCGACCCCTGATCTAGTTGAAGGAAAGGTACATTTTGGACTCTGGCGCTGTGCCTTCTTCCGAAACACTGGAATAACTGACAGGTGGATTAAGAGCTTTGGCACTGGAGGACCGACTCTACCTGTACAAGTGCAGCAAAGAAATTATACACCCGGAAGATTTTCATCAGCTGCAGAACAGTAGGGTGATTAAATTGCCATTAATCCAGCTGCACAGATAGGCTATTCCCGTTTCATGTTAATCAAAATTCTTATTTTCCGCCAAATGAATTAAATCCCACCACTCCAAACCTCAAGTCCACCGACTGATTTCATGGCAGCCGTTTCCCCTCTATCTTTCAACATTTAATTCAAGGCCCAACTTTTTAACAGATTACAGTAATCTCATCTCGGCTTAAATAAAAGGGCTGTTTTCATCTTAATTAGTCCGGCCTAATCATAATTGAAAAATAAAATATTCTTGACTGCATGGAAGATGTTGGAAAGGGCTCTTTTTATTATTGTCCTTCTGAAAAGAATCCTTTCGCCATTTTGACTGGTTCAAGAATCCTGTTTCAAAAATGGAAGAAAAATTGCTGTCTCTGGACAGTTCTTTTTTTTTTTCCCACCCAAACCACACAACTCCAGAAAATGTCTACACCATTTGAAAATGTGAAAAATGCATGTTTCAAACAAATAAATCAACAAAAAACAGACTAATACGAAATACTTAAAGATTATTTTCTTCGGCACATTTTTTTAAAAAGGACGTAAGGCATTAACTCCGATAAGACAGAAAACCCACAAAAATATTTTGATAATGGGTTGTCACTTTTATAAGACAGATTATTCTTATTCTATTCTATTGATTCTTATTCTATTCTATTCTATTCTATTCTATTCTATTCTATTCTATTCCATTCCATTCCATCCCATCCCACTGAATTGTGTTGTATTGTATTGTATTGTATTGTATTGTATTGTATTGTATTGTACTCTACTCTACTCTACTCTACTCTACCCTACCTACCCCACTCCTCCACTCCATTAAATTATTTATTGAATTGTATTGTATTGTATTCTACCCTACCCTACTCCACTGAATTGTATTGTATTATATTGTACTCTACTCTACCCTACCCTACCCCACTCCACTGAATTGTGTTGTATTGTATTCTACTCTACCCTACCCTACTCTATTCCACTCCACTGAATTGTGTTGTATTGTGTTGTATTCTATTCTATTCTACTCTACCCTACCCCACTCCATTGAATTGTGCTGTATTGTGTCGTGTCGTGTCGTGTCCTGTCCTGTCCTGTTCTGTTCTATTAAAACTGGACTGAGGATCAGGACAAAGCAAACCCAAACTGAATTTCCGGCCCATTCAGAAAGATCTCACCTGTTGTGAACTGGCCCTTGAGTTTCTGAAAGACGGGGTCTTGCGCTGTGGCCTGAGCCCTCCTGGCTAGCGATTCGGAAGCTGCACTGGAAAACATGGTGGAGACGTTGGAGACGTTCTCCAGGCCCACCCCGAAGGTGCTGACCAGCTTCTTGACAAAGTTCAGGGTGTGCGGCGTGATTTTGGCATCGGAAACAGCACCGCTCTTCTCGAAGGCCACCGAATAGCACTTGGCCAGGCCTTGCTGAAGCTGTCGCAGGACCTAAAAGTGGGCCAGGTCAAAGAGAGAGAGAGAGAGAGAAAGAGAGAAAGAGAAAGAGGGAGGGAGAGAGAAAGAGAGAGAGAGAGAGCGGGAGACGGAAAGAAAGAGAGAGGAGAGAGATAGATAGAAGGGGAAAGACAGAAGAAAGAGAAGGAAAGAGGGAGAGAAAGAGAGACAGGAAAACAAGAGAAGGAGACAAGGGGAGAGAGAGAAAGAGAAGTAGAGAAATTCAAGTCCAGGAAACACACAGAGGACTGATTCAGCAGGATCATTAACTTCTTCATAAACATAAGTAAATGTACAATACCAGTAGTTGCTTCCAACCCGTAAAAGGTTACAAGCAGACACAAACAGAAGCAGACGTGCTCCAGTTCCAGTTCAGAGCAGAACTCTAGTTTCCCTTTCAATTCTCAGCAAAGCACACAGAACCAAACCACACCCAGTGATGTCAGCTCCCATTGGCCGATCCGTTGCCATGCTTACTAAAAATTTTAACTGGAGAGTATGATGGATGACTCTTGGCTAGGGATGTGTCCCATTGGAGAATATGAATTATGATTCACACCCAGGGTGGGCGAGGGCAAAACCAGGGTCAAGGGTGACAATGAATGATGAGTCGCAGAGTTGGTGAGCTGTCAGGATTCCGGCAGTGACCCCCAATTAAATCATGAGTCTTGAGCCAAACTTCCAAAACTTCAAAAGGATTTATTGGGAGTTAACATGCCAGCACTGCCTGGGTGTAGCCGACTCTGAGACACCTCATTCATTGTCACCTTTGACCCTGGTTTTCCCCCCACCTCCTGGGTGTATCCTAATTCATATTCTCCAATGGGACACATCCATAGCCCAGAGTCATCCATCATGCTCTCTAGTTAGAATTTCGCCCAGCAGAGAATTCAGTCGCCTCGTTACTATCTTTGAAAACATTTATGGAATGCAGTTTCGGTTTGCAAGCTGCCGCACTGCTCCCCCCTCCCTTTCTGTTGGCATCTCTAAAAAGACCATAGAAACATTTTATGAACTGACATTTACTTTGTGAACCACGTCTCTGCCAGTTAAAGAATATACTCTGAAAAGCACCACAGAGGGCGATTTATGTGTCACATTCATCGAAACTCCTATTTTCTGCACCATTCATTCATCCCCACACCGCCCGGCTCGTCGACAGATACAAGGGCGGCCTACCTCCTCGTGCCAGTTTTCTCGGAACCAGACCATCTGATCCACAATCCCTTCCAGAGACGAGAGGAGTGTCGGGTGCAACTCCCGCTGCATGTGCATGATACGGCTGCATCGCCACATGGGGGCCGTCGCTCGGATCGGCCCGGGGTCCGACGCAGAGTGAGACTGGCTTCCGACGGAGCTCGGCTGCTGCTGTCCAGAATCTTTGGGTCGGGGGGGTGGGGGGGGGGGGGGGAGATGGGAAGAAGGTGTCAGCCCTTCGAAGTAGACCCAGTTGGGAAAGCGACGCAACTGTAACTTTTGGAACTCTGTGGTGTTTGTTATAGGGTGTAGTAATGGAAATGGGGGGGACATGTCTAGAGGTTGAGGCTCTGGGCTGTTGACCAGAAGATTGGCAGTTCGAGACCCAAGGGCTAGCATGGATGATGTTACCTAGTTTGTAATGAAAGGTCTGTGAGAAAACCACCAAGTTCAGAGAGTACCAGGGATTCCACATTCCTCCTCCTCCTCCTTCTTCTTCTCCTCCCTCTCTTCCTCCTCTCTTCCACCTCTCCCCCCTCCTCCTCCTCTCGCCACAAAGCCCACTCCCTTCCAACACTGATAATGTTATCTAGTTTGGTCATGAAAGGCCTGTAAGAAAACAACCAAGCTCAGAGAGCTCCAAGAACCTCACAGTACTCCTTCTCCACCTCTTCCTCCTCCTCTCACCACAAACTCCATTCCCTTCCAGTATTGATGATGTTACCTAGTTTGGTCATGAAACATCTGCAAGGAAACCGCCAAGCTCAGAGAGCGCCAAGGACCCCCACAGTCCTCTCCTCCTCCTTCTCCAACTCCTCCTCCCCCTCCCCCTCCCACAAACTCCCCTCCCTTCTAGCACTGATGAGGTTACCTAGTTTGGTAATGAAAGCCCTGCAAGAATCAGAGAGCACCAAGGACGTGGGAACAAAACCCTGACTTCAGCTGCAATTTTAAAACGTCTAAAATTCTAGCCATCGTGGAAAATATCATTCAAACAGCAATTAAGAGTTGCGATTAGGACCGTCTGATCCCGTTCTTGAATTAGCAAGGAAGGCCAAGGAAGGACCTGCCTGCCTCTCCAGCCACAGGAGGCAAAGCCACTCAATCTCCCCGGAAACCTAACAACCGGCCCCCGAGGTTGTAGCTTTGTGATGTTCCCCGCTTACCGCTTTTGTAGCGTTCCCGTTGTTCAATCTTCAACGTCAAATAGAGAGTACGGATAGGGAAGTAAACTGCTTGAGGGTAGACACGTCCAACCTATTGCGTGGGGGGGGATGACAAAAAACGAAGTGTGTGTGTTAAAATTCAACGGCCGTCTCCGAAGTATTGTGATACAGCAACCTGCCCACTGATTCACGTCTAGCTTTTGACTCCATGAAATCAATTAATAATGATTTATATAGAGGAGAGGAGAGGAGAGGAGAGAGAGAGAGAGAGAGAGAGAGAGAGAGAGAGAGAGGAAGGGAAGGGAGGGGGCCGCGGAGAGTCTAGGATCATCTCGAAACAAAGGTTTACATGATGATTGTGGAGAGGATTTTATACAAATATCGTGGCCCAACAACAGAGCTGGTGGCAGATTCGGACAGTGAGGAGGTTGGGGAGGAACATGGGCCTTGGAGTCTGGGGAAGGATCTGCGTAGGAGGCAGAGATGGAGCCAGGGCCATCTGACAGTTATCAGCTGCCTTTGGAGTCGGAGATCAGTGAGGCAGAAGAACAGCTGGAGCCTGTTCCCAGTGTGCGCATGCACAGAGCTGCCAGATGAAGGGAATAGCTAAGGAACAAGGGTCAACTCGGGAGTAGGGAATAAAGAGGAGTGAAAGGGGGGTGGGGTTTGCAGGAGACAATTAGCTCAATTCATTCGGGTGAAGATCCGTTCCGGACTTCTTGCCAAGTATTGTCTGCTACAGAGCGGCGTTTGGAAGATATCGGCCTGGCAGCTCTTCAAGGTCTGATCAAGGTCTGTAGTTGTGAAATCTCTTGAAAGACTGTCGGCCGGGACTTTGCTGGAGGGGAATTCACTTTAGCCTAAATAAAAGGGGTTTTATCAGCCTTTCTGAACCGGGCTGCAGAAGTGGAAGGCGAGCCCGCGGGCTCTTTTTATGCCAGCGGTAGGCATGCGTGCTTTTTTCACGTAGAGATGGAAAAGCTTGGGAAACAACCTGAAAAATTGGGAGGAAACAAGGTTTTTCCCCCCACATCTATTTTTCCAAACAGCTTTGGGGAAAAATAGGGAGAAAAAAATGGTTTTTTCTTCTCCCCAATTTTTTCCCCCAGGCCTTTCCAACTCCAGCAGGCAGGCTGTTCCCTGACTGGTCAAGAAATTTCTCCTTATTTCCATTCAGCGCTAACCCATTCAGGAATGCTACCCATCCAATGGCGCCTCCTTCTTCACTTCCTCCACCTCCGTCCCTGTTCTGACCCACGCCCTTTTCCAACAAATCAAACACCATCCAAAAGGAACAGAAACTTTGTAATGCTTTTACAAAACGATTAGCTGTGATAAGCCCAAGCCTTGCCAAACTGTGCGAGACTTGCCAAAAGATAACGGAGAAAGAAATAATTTGCAAAATAAGAATCTTCAAATACAAACTCAGGATACTGGAATGCCCACGAGGCTGAGTTTCAAAACGCCTTTGCTTCCTGCAAAGTACGTTCGTTTCACAGCTCCCGAGTCGCCCGTCCTGTTGTAACTGCTCTTTCCTATGAGCAGTCCTGCACGCACGTGCACTTGGAACAGGCTCCTCGGGAACCTCCTCATCGCTGCTGCCAGCCCCCACAATCTCTGAAGGCAGCAATCCACTCCCTAATGGTCCTGGCCCCTCATCTGAGTTCTCGCTCTCTTCAGCTGTCCACACCCGCTGCCAGCTAACCACAACAGTACCTGGCTAATGAGATTCAAGAGGAGTTTTCCTTCTGATCCGACCAAACAGGTTAAGAGCTGTGGGATCCAAGCCAGCCACTGGATGGGCGGGACGCCAATGCAATACTTGTCCACGGCATCAGCCAACGTATTCTTGTCGTCATCAAAGCTCAGGAGCCAAAGAACCTAGAATCACAGAATCACTGGGGTAGGAGGGACCTTAGAGATCGTCTACTCCAACCCCCCTGCTCGAGAGAGGAGAGCTTATCCCAGTTGTGGCCGTAAGCCAAGGACTAGCTGTCAAACCAAGTCAACCGCTAAGCACAGAGAAGGACTCTCATCTCTCCTTCAAGGCGGTTTCTTCTCCAAACGGAAACACTCACCTTTGCTAAATACTTCCTGGATTTGCTTTCGTTCTGGTGCCGACAGGCATGGAGGTAACAAGTCAGCGCGGAGACCCCGAGGTGCAGCTGGCGCTCCTTGACAAAGATGTTTTCCAGGTAATCCCCCCACATGGCCCAAGCCTTCACCAACACGTCATGCATCTGCACAGCCGCCGAAAACGCCTTGTTGGCTTCTTCGGACCTGGGGAAAGAGACCACGGGGTGGGAAGGTTATTTGCTGCACATCAAGCCAACAACACAGAGAAGACAAGGATGGAACCGGCCAGTTCAAAAAGCCAAACGCTTCTTGTTGCGTTTCCCATGCTTGACAAAAATAACAAAACCACATGCACACACAAACACACACACACACAGACATTCCCCCTGGTTCCCACATCCTGCTGTCTCCAGAATGGAATGGAATACAATACAATGCAGAAGGGACTAGACTAGAGTGGAATGCAGAAGAAATGAATAATAGAAGAGGAAGAGGAAGAGGAAGAGGAGGAGGAGGAGGAGGAGGAGGAGGAGGAGGAGGAGGAGGAGATGAAGAGGAGGAGGAGGAGATGAAGAGGAGGAGGAAGAGGAAGAGGAGGAGGAAGAAGAAGAAGAGGAGGAGGAGGTGGTGAAGAGGAGGAGGAAGAGGAAGAGGAATAGAATAGAAAATATAGAGAAAAGAATATAGAGAAAAGAATATAGAGAATAGGATAGGACAGGACAGGACAGGACAGAATAGAATAGAATGGAATAGAATAGAATAGAACAGAATAGAATAGAATTTATTTGGCCAAGTTTGATTAGACACACAAGGAATTTGTCTTCCGCGCAGGAAAAAAAAATGGATGAGACTGGCTGAAAAACATCACCAAATGCAAAATAGCCCTGTCAAACAGCTTATTAAAGAGCTAATTAGCCTCGGTATTAACTCAGTGTCGTCTTCTTCGTCTTCTCCCTTCCGGCTAACGAGTTTCAGCGTCCCAGACCTTTGCAAAGCCGTACAACTTATTCCCGAACAAGCTGATAAATGGCTAGCCGTATTTCTCCTTTCAACGGCTAACCACTAGATTTGTCTTCCAGCTGCCGGTGCTGCTTCCATTTCTGACTCCCGTCTGGGGTTTTTTTTCCGATCACAAACACTTTTGATAAACTCTTTAATCTCCCCAAATCTCTAGTGCTGAGCGGCTGGCAAAACTGAGCGAGCCTTCTCCCTGAATAAACTCTGAATCCCAGTTCTTCCACTGGCTAGCCAAGGATCACAATCTAGGTTTTAGCGATCATCTTGACAATATAAAATAGAAAACTCCGGATCTCCAGTTCCCTGTGTGTAGGGTTTTTTTTCCTCCTTTCCTTTCCTTCCTTTCTTTTTTTTCCTTCCTTCCTTCCTTCCTTCCTCTCCCCCACCTCTCTCTCTCTCTTTCTTTTGACAAGAGATAAGGTGAAGTGCTGTTTGACGATTGTATCTTGTCCCACATGGCAGCTCATATAAATTATTTAAACTGCATTTCCTCCGCAGAGGAAACATCTAAACACGCTCATGGGCTGGTTTAAAAGGAAAGAGGTTGTTGCGCTTTTCGGCTCAACTAATTGACTTTTTCCACGATTTAAACTTCTCTGTTTTCCCAAGATAGGATACGGGTTGCCTCGACCCTGTGCAACTGCGATGCTACTTTTTTTTTTTTTCCTTCCAGTTTTACAGTGTTTTATCTTCAAGGACTGCAATTAGCATCATTTGCTGGTCCAAATTTTGCTTCTGGTCAACGATGGACAGATTGTGAAAAACTTGACAAAACAGAAGCGAGCCCAGAGATATGTCTCTTGCAGTTTGGCCGCGAGATGCTTTGAAGTGAAAAAAGGAAGGAAGGGTTGTCTGTCTTTCCACCAAGATATAAAGAGAGGAGAACGGGTAGTACGAAGAGCTGAGCTGGGCTTTCTTCAAAAGTTCTTTTAATTCAACAAATAAACCAGCAAAGCCTAAATCGGACATTTGCAAGGCTGCAAAGCACGGTTCCGGGCTCGTTTCTCATTCCCCTGATCAAAAAAATTCTCCTTATTTCCATTCAGCACTAACCCATTCAAGAACAAATTATTCTCCTATCCGCATCTAATTTTAACTTCTGAAACACAAGCTAAACAAAGAAGTGGGCAAGACCCCTCTTTCTTTATATAATTTATTTCCAACGTTCTGCTGAGAAGAACAGGCATTTGTTTTGGAGACAACTTGTAAAGGTATTTTATATGAAGAGGTTTTTCTGCAATGTGGCTCTAAACTAAGACTGATTGGCAGCTGTATTTATTTATTAAATTTAGAAACGGACCATCTCCTTCACAGAGGGACTCTGGGCAGTGTACAAATAAAATGTAGTCCTTTTACACGTAGTCCTTAACTTAGTACAATCGCGACCAGACTTTCCATCGTGGTCCCACGTTGAATCAGACTCAATTTTACAATAATTTTTACAGTCATGAATTGAAACCTCTTGGTTCTTAAACATGTGGAATCCAGCTTCCACAGTGGGTGTTTTCGTTAGAAATCAGCCAAAAAAGGTCATAAATTGAAATCATGCGAGCTAATGAAGCTATAAATAGTTATCATTTAATGCAAAAGAGTTACCAGGTGCTAAATTACAACCGTATGACAAGGGAGTGGTACATAATCGTAAGTGAGAATAAATTATTTTTTTTCCAAGGCTGTCATAATTTTTAACCGTTGTTAAACAAATGGTCATAAGTTGAAAACTAGCATTTTATCTTGCCTTCCATGGAACAACATAAAATTCCTTCCCATCTCGTTGCCCCTCAAAACACCACTGAAATAGAGTTAGGAACGGCAGTACGCTAACCCACAAAGATTTAACATCCTCTGGGCAGGACCCCTCCACCTTCCTGCGATACTGCAGGATGCAGAACCTTCAGAATTAAGAAAACCAAACAAAACTTCACCTCCAAATCCCTGCGTGTTGTTTACACACATTTCCAGAGGTTGTTGCTGCCACATTTCACCTTGGCATACTTACTTGTTAATCTGTGCTAAAAACATCCCCTTCAACGCGTAGAATTCGGCCGTCATTTCCTTGGTAAAATACTTCAAGTTTGTGGACTCTATCACCTCTAGGCCCTATTGAAAAGATTTGGAGACAAGATTTGCAAAAAAAAATTCCACCTTTCCTTTGTGTTCTCTCTCTTTCTCTCCCCCCCCCAACCCCTTTCGTGTTTGCTTTCTACCCTCTCTCTCACACACACACACATACACTCTTCATTCTTTCTATCCTTCTTTTTCTCCTTCCTCTTCTCTCTCTCTCTCTCTCTCACACACACACACACTTTCTCTTCATTCTTTCTCTCCTCTTTCCTCTTTCTCTCCTTCTCTTT